CGAGCACGGATCATGGTGGGCCTCGAAAATCCGACCTTTCGATTGAGAGGCGGAGACGTAACCACTTCACCACCGCTCCCCTTTCTTCCTTTATCCCCTTTATTCCTGTACTGCAAGCATAATCATTTACTGCAAGTAGCAAGCATAATCCTTTACTGCAAGTTGCTTTCTAAAGTTTTAATCAGATATACCTCGGCCCCTCAGTATTGTCGCCTATGCAACATTGGGCTTTTTCGAAAATGCAAAACAAATAACGTTTTGCATGGTGGTCTAACAAACAATTAATTGATTTCTGATCAGATATACCTCGGCTCCTCAATATCGTCGCCTAAGCAACATCGAAAAAGAATTATACAATTATACCAGTAAAGGAATTATGCAATTTTTAAATTTCTACTGCAGATTTTTCTCTGAATCTATGATGGAAAATCACTATTGTTTCACAGTTCCAGCGCAGTTGTTTGCGATGAATTTTCTTAGTTGCTTTCTAAAGTCACTGAGAATTTCTTAGTTGCTTTCTAAATTATATCTGATTTCGATGTTGCTTAGTCGAAGATATTGAGGAGCCGAGCTGTATCTGATTAGAAATCAATTGATTGTTTGTTAGACCACAATGCAAAACGTTATTTGTTTTGCATTTTTGAACAGAAACTAATCAAACTTGTCAAAAAATTTTCGAGTTGGTGTTTGTGGTACTGGAACAGTTTGAATCACACCAAAATAGAACACATACGATTCATAAAAAGCACTTTTAAACCTATTTTTATCGTTTTTATATAAAATATTGCCAAATTGGTCGTTTGTCAAAAAAATTAACTCAAAAACTTTCTCTGTTTTCGTCCTAGAATCAACTGGTAATGATCATAGTCCTAATTTCTGTTTTTTTGTCTTAGGACGAAAATTTCAGAATAATTTTTTTGCAAGATTTTGAAAGAATCTCGCAAATTTCTTGAAATATAACCTCGCTCTTTTTGCAAACTACACCTCGCTCAAAAGTTTTGCAAGATATTCCTCATTTGCAAGAATCTTGCAAGATTTTTCAAGATAACCTATTTTGATCGGTTGGGAACGTGCACTAAATAGGTATGTTTGTCAAAACTTTTGGTATTAAAGTAACAAAGGCATTTTGGATACTTTTTTAGAACTTTTTTATTAAGATTAGCATCTATCAAACCATTCTCAATTTTATGCTTTTCAACGATCAAAAGTGCAAGCTCAAATTACCTTTTGTGCAACGGTTTGTTCTTTTCCAAGCGCCATCGTGTCGTGTCGTGTCGTGTCGTCGAATCAAGCATTTTTTGGTTATACTTTGCTCTTTCCTTATTTGCTCACTTAGTTTTGATACTGTGGGGTGAGCATAACATATTCAAGTTTGAGAAACTTTATGCCATCTTTGGTCCAACTTGTTTTTTTTTGGTTTCCACTTAGCGCATTGCTGAGTTGACTTACTAAATACAGCCGGTTTAAAATCTAGATATTTTCAAAAAATTGAACCTATATGCTTGCTCACACACGTTTTTTTTTTTGAAATAGTCGAGATAATGCTTGAGCTGCTCTTTCTCACTTATTGTGCCGTACAAAGCTTCCAATGTACGCTTAATCTCGCAGCCAGGAATGAGAGCCAGCGGAACAAAGGGCTGACATTTTTTTAAGTTCTGTTGTCATCCGCCCGTTCTTAAACTATTAGCCAATCGATCTTTGCAAATTAAAAGAAGCACACTTATACTAAAGGGAGTTTGAAATTTAAAGCCCAATTTTCAGTTTTTTTAAAATCAATTACTTTTCTTGTAGGCTTTAATTATGGGATCAGTTCACGGAACACACGGAATTTTGTCGTTTTGCTGCTGAGTTTTGCGCTGCAATATTAAATAAACCATTAGGAGCAAGGGCTATATTATAGCAGCGTGGAATGCACACCCGTACAGAAATAAAATAAAAATACAGATCTGCCCAGGGTTAATCCATTTGTTGTGAGATTGCATATCTGTCCTGAACTGTATCAGACATGTTCAGACCTGGAAAATACAAAAATTTTAATGTTACAGAAAAAAATAGAAATACAGATATGCCCAGGGTGAATCCATTTGTAGTGAGACTGCATATCTGTCCTGAACTGCATCAGACATGATCAGATCTGAAAAAAAATTTTTTTGAAATTTTCGAATGAATTCTCAACTTTTGTCACGTGTCTTGTTTTTATAGTTGAAAATTGTTATTTTGACAAATAACACTAAAACTCGTTTAAAATCACGTCCTTGTTTTCTGCTTCTGTGATGGAATCCATACCTGCCTCAGTCCTGATTCAGACATGTCCATGTCCAAACGAAACATGCACCATGTCTGGACAAGATCTGAAATAGGCAAGATTTTACGATGCTCGGATCTGGTTTCCAAGTGTTTGTAAGGTACGGGCAGTATATACTTAGTAAAACAACGAGAGGCAACTTTTAAAGGTGCCATCAGCATATCTTTTTGTGTATCGCTCAATAATGTCCAAGTGTGACTGAACAGATAAAACTGAAAGATAAATGATGCAAATTGACTATAATTTTCTTTTTTTTGTACACTGACACTTGCTTGCGTCATGGTTCCATTTATTGGTCGGTTTGGTTTTCTGCTTTGACTTAATTTTGATCTTATTCAAACTTTGAAGTCAGCCATTTCTTGGCCAATATTCTAGCAATCAAATCTCCGGCAAGTATTTTTTGTGTACTCATCGAGTTTTCAATTTTTAGAGGTATTGTTCACCAAAGCATAAACTTTTCTTTTATTGTTAATTCGTATTCTTCATCTTAGGACTATTTTGTTTCAATACAAAGATCACAAAATTATCTGTCTATACCAATAGTTTTTTTTAGTTTTTTTTCAAGGAGCAAATTTTAGCCATCCAGTTTATTGAACCATTCAATGCTATCGTTTCGATTGTCTTCTGTCGTAGACTGCTGCAAAATTATTGCGCTATAATCAAGGTGGTGCAAATTTAGAATAGGTGTATGCGCGCGATGTTGCGCTCGTTTTATTTAAGATCTTTTAGATTCTGCTTAGATCAGGGCAGAATTTCTCAGAGCTCAGATCAGAAATCATGAGTAGGAAGTTGCTCTAAGCATATTTTTGGTTGATCTAAAATATTGAAGTGACTTACCCGTACAGCTCACTGACGTACCCAAACAGCTTACAAAAGAGACGACGTACCCATGAAACGTACCAAGAGTGAAGCGTTTAAACACGTTGACAGCGATGGTTCCACTGGTCAGTTGAGACGACATCCAACATCGAGTCAATAGGCATAGAATGAAAAGAGTATAGTTATCAACGAGGGATGATCAAAATCAAGTGTTCCACTTTAGTTTGCGATAGCACCCCGGGTCGAGGTGTTCACTTTTTGTTTCCACCATCTCGGCAAAACTCGGTATGTTTCGACCGTGCTCGACGCAAGAAAGATATGCTTTGACCGTGCTCAACTGAATACGCGTGTGTTTGACCGCGCTCGACCGTGCTCGAAATATGTTTCGAACTTGTGCTCGACGGAAACCCCTGTCTCCACTATTCTGTCTCCACTATTCTTTTTGTTTGTTCAAAAAAAATTGGGCGTGGGCGCATTTGCAGGGAGTTTTTCAAAACTGTTCTTTTCATTGATACCAAAAACTCAGACTTGAGAGGGGTAGTTTTCGGCAAAAAAAAATATTTAAACCATGGGTTAAATATTCCCTCTCGGACTTTTTCGAAAGCTGTAGACAGAGGGGTCATGTAAAAAGACTCTAGAGGAGTATGCAGGAAAACCAGTGGAAGTTTTTGAGAAAAACGAAAAGTTTCCAATAAATTTCCATAACGAAAAAAAATCAATTATACAACCAACTTGAAAAGTGCGGAGGGGAGTGTTGAAATCGTGTTACCCTGATACAATCCAAATTTAGGTCATTTAGTTGATAAAAAATAAGCCGAGTCATCTCTGACCGAGGAATTTTTTAGCGAAACAAAAAACGAAGGAAATGCGAAGTCAAAGTAAATAAAAGTATATGCTAAGAGTAAATCAAACATTAGAAGCAACATAAAAAAAACGCGCGCAGTAAAAAAACGATTCCAAGATGTGACAATTAAGCCGACAACAGATAAGCAGACAAATAATTGGCCGACATTTTTATTTGAAACGGAATGTTTTCCTTTGAAAAAAAAGTCCTGCTTAGATTCGAACCCAAGACCTTTCCCGTCCAAGGCATTTTCCCTGTTTCCAGGTTAAGTTTGAATTAATTATGAAACAAGATACAAGTGATTCAAGTGATTCTCTTAAACAAGTTAATAACAGAAAAAAAGTATATATACCAGTTTGATAACGCTTGCTTATCGCAAGCTCAATAACCTTGGTAGCATATAATATTTTGTTGAGATCCATTATATCGATCAGCGACTCTGAAATAAATAAAAAAACATCAAAATTATGTATATATATTACATAACTTTCATAATTATCTGAAACAAGATACTTCAATTTTCAATAGCAGCCATGAAAGGTATTTCCAGGAGCACTCGCAGCCAAAAAAAAATTCATAAAGCCATTGATAAAGAAAATCGATTTGGCTTTTAGAGTGTTTACAAAATTGACGCAACCATTTTCATTGACCCTGACCCAAGCGTTTACGATATTGACCTTGATGAATGTTTTAAAGAAACGCTGACTTTATTATTTAGGTCGAACTATTTGTTTTTCCAAGCTTCTCGTGATTGGGAACTTCGTTGAAAAACTTTGATCAAAAGGGTGGTTTTCAGCGTTTACCTCTCTCCAATTATTGCATCTGGACGCCAGCGACACAATTGGAGAATTTGAAAGTGTTTTTTTTTGGACTGGGCAGGGGTTCAAAACTTTGAGGGGATGCGTTCGTCTCTTCCCTACCTACCCCCTCCGCTCTTGAAACTCCAATGCATTTTTTTAACAAATAGCTTTTTGGTTTCAGGTGCCGGCATTCATGATGAATCCAAACCTTGCTTTCAATGATTTTTGTTGCACTTTTATTATGATTCAGTTTTAGAATTTAGCTCAGCATATTTAGAGCCATGCATGCCATTGAACAAGTTAGTCATTTTGTAGACATTACAACTCAGCTCAGACGTTCAGTAATCATTAGACCTGAAATTATAAATAACATAAATGCTCTAATTGATAGTCTGTTAAATTTTGCATAAAAGTATTAATTTTTTATACTCTTCTCATGAAGACAGTCAAGAATACCTTGAATATAGGCAAGAAGGCTGGACTGGATTCAATCCCTGGACCTCGTGGGTTGCCAGTAATTGGAGTCCTGCCACATTATGCGTGGAATCATGGATCCTATTTCTCATTGGAAGTAGGTGCACTTTACAGCTTATCATATTTCTCTTTTGAAATAAAAAATTTGAAGTAGAAAAATGAAAAGATATCAATGTTTAAGACGAAACGTGGACTTGAAAAATCAGATGACGATTACGAAAATTCCGCGGTCATCACTTTAAATGCTCAGTACAGTTTTAAACTTTATGGTTTCACGTGTATAGTTATAGAGTTATAGTTATATTATATAACTTGACGTAATTAAATGTGAAATGTTACATAGTTTTTTCAGAAGCGTTTCTCGGACACCTATGGTCCCATTCATACAGAGAAGCTTCTGTTCCGCACTTCAGTCGTCCTCTCCTCCCCCGAACTCATCCAGCAGCTGACCAGGAGTGAGGGCCAGTGTCCGATGAGACCCCCGATTGTGAACTGGGAGGCACACAGGGAGAACATTGGCATGCCAAGAGGACTCGTGTCCAGGTGAGCAAGAAGAGAAGGGAGAGAGGGGGTTTATTTTTTTAAGCCTAATTATTTTTTTCACTAAATTCAAAACAAACTGTTGCTTAAAAATACGTGCTGCAACTAAATGAAATTTTTATAAAAAGTTAAAAATCAACAACTACACCGGCATGTAAATATACAAATAACAACTCGCATAAGTTGATTAAAACTATACCAATTTTAGATATCAGAAAGATCTGGAAAAGAGCTAATGGATCTATCAATGAAAAAATTTTCGTGCATTTCTATCGAAAAATTTTAAAACCGACATCTGAATTTTTATTAGGAATTAAATTTTGTCGGCTTAACGTTTGACTTGTTCCATTCATTACAACTATTGTTTGCTCTAAATTTCTTTCCCTAACTTTTTTTAGGAATCTGTTTTGTTTTATTTCTTTTTTGCGTTCGATTAGTTTCAAAGGTGTTTTGTTTTAAATAAACTGCCAACCAATTTTATTTGTCTTGATAATTTTTGCCAGATTGAACATTCTAGTCAGGCTATGTTGGGTACCGAATAGTTCGGCTGGTGAAGCTGTACACTTGAAAAAAAGATCTCATCATGATCATTTTTTCTGCGAAGATAGCAAGCTTTGATTCCCTTGTTAATTTGTTTGTTTAGTCTGTTAGTTTGAGATATTGATAGATAAAAAAAGTTCAAACAAAAGATAAATGTGACAAAGGTAATGGTCAGAAAAGCGTGATTTTTGTTTCTAAGGGTACCATATATCGCACGCAGTAGTTTGACAAAATGCAACTGCAATTTTGCTTAATCAGTTGTTTAGTTTGGCTGAAAAACAAGATTTTTGTCCACTAACGTTCCAAGCTAGCTGGCATATTCCCTAGTGTAAATTCTTGCTTCTCTATAAATTTTTTTTCTAAATTTTTGTCCCCAAAGATAATGGGTTCTGTTTTATGAACCTTAGGAACAAGTTTGTTTTCGTTTAAATTTTCAGGTACTTTTCTAGCGTTTCTAGCATTGATGTTCTTAGGTCCGTTATTGTATTTGCTGTACATAAAATACTTGTATCATCAGCGAATTGCACTAATTTCATATATCTGTTTACTTGGCTTCTTAAATAATTAACATCAATATTGAAAACCAATGGACCCAAAACAGTACCTTGTGGTACATGCTGATTAAATGTTTTCCAGTCCGAACAATCATTTTGGAATTTTACACATTGCTGACGGTCTTATCCTTTACTTTTTAGTTTGAAAACGGAAACTTTTCCGACAGGATTTTTTTCACATTATATAATTTGAATTAATATAATTTTTTCTTTATTTAAATTCGTTATATGGTTTTACACGGTCACCTACAAGTTCGCTTTGAAAAAACGTCTTGAAAAAGCATCAGTGAAATGCTTGGCTTAAAAAAATTTTAAGTTCGGCCCAATCAATCCAAGTGCGGCGTTTGTGCTGTGTGTAAGGCAAAAGAGTATTCGTGATCGAAAAAAGCGTTTCTTTTCAGCTGGGGTGAAGAGTGGCGAAGGTGCAGACGCGCTTTCAGTGGCCCGCTCCTCAAGCCCACAGAAGTGAATCAGCTGAGACCAGCTGTGAAACAATCCATGAACAAGTTGGGATCTCTTCTGGACTCAAGAGCAGAAGAAGTCCACTGCGATGAAGTAAAAAAGAAATTAAAAAGCTCTGACCTTTTGACTCTGCTGAAAGTTTGGTCCCTTGAAGGTAGGCGTACATTTTTATGTAAAATGGTTTTACAAACGGAAAAACTGAAAACAAAAACACAATGTGTTTCAGTGGCTTTTTCTGTGACCTTTGGAAAGAATCATCAGCAGCGCATCATGAGTCATCCAATTGAGGAGGATATCCTAGAGTTCATAGATGTTGTGGACAAGGTTTGGGAAAATATATCATTATAGCAAATTCTTTGCGAATAGGAGAGAAACTTCCGACCACAGTATTTTTCCAAAACAAATTTTCAGTATTTCTCATTTTAGTGCAAATCGCGACTGGAAATGTTTTAAAATGATATACCCGTCTAAGAAATTTTTCACCTGTCAAAAACTTTTCTAAAGCACGAAAGATCAATCATGTTTATATCATTTTTAGCAAACACCTCTTAAGCTCGTGATTTTTTTTGATTTTTTTTGACATAAATTGCAAAATATTTGTCCCAGCTGATTTTTTTCTAATTGACACTATTTAAAATTATAATTGACATATAGATTTCATGCTTGCAATGCTTTAGCTTCTTCTATGAAAAAGCTGAATGAAATCCATCAGTTAAAAAAAAACAATATCAATTTGAATATAATTCACTTTGAGTGAGTTTTTTGCCAGTTTAAATTATAAAGTTATCACAAAACTATCACATTAAAATTTAATTATCTGCAATGTTTAGATTTTTGTGATTGGGACCAAGTTTTTCCTGATTAATGACACGCTGGGAAAAAACTACTTGAGGCTGACGAGACATTTCAACAAACATTTCAAGTACTGGGACTACATATTCAACTTCTGTGAGAATTATGTCAAATACAGTTTTTGAAAAAATAATACATTTTGAACACATTCGACTTAATTTTTGGGTCCTCTTTTTCAAAATGATTTTGTAAGAGGAGCGAAAACAACTGAAAGTTCATAAAATGCAAACATCTCAAGTTGATCTGATATTTATGTGAAATAAAACAAAATAAAAACAAAACTTTACTCCTTTCATTATTAGAAAAAACTTCTTGTTTTCAAGCAAATGGTTATAGCCACAGGAAAACAACTCTCAAATCCAACCCTGCATCTAAAGCCAAAGATGTGGCTCCACTAATAAATATATAAACCTCTGGTTGAAAAGTTATAGCGTTGATAATCCTTTTCATAAAAATTCGAGATGCTGAGTCTTCTACAGCAAAGCTAAAATTGTTATTGGGCGGATCTGAGTAAAAGTGCAATTTAATCTAGCTCATGTTTTTGATTTGAGGTCGCCCTCAAATACAACAGAAGCTAAATGAGGCAAAAAGTAAAGCCAACCCAAAAACAAGCGACGATGAAACAATGTCAGACGGAGGATTCCTGGAAAAGGTCCTCTCTGAGAACTCTTCGATATCAGAGAATGAAGTGATTTCATCCGTCACGGAGCTTATTTACGGTGCAATAGATCAAGTAACGTATTCGTCCCAGTTTAATGACCAACCTCATCTTTTTATAATTGCCTTGAATATTTATTTTAATCTTTTTTCTTTAGAGCGCAACAACAGTTTTTCTTAAGATTAATTATAATTAAATGCTCTGATTATAGGTGAACATGAAGGTACTTGTATTAATTCGGAGGTTATTCGAAACCACAATTAAGCTACAAAATTGTTTCAGACCTCTCTAACTTTGGGCGCAATTCTTGGGGAATTGGCCATGAACCCAACACTACAATCGCAGCTCAGATCCAAAATCAACACCTCGTCATTATCATCTTCAGTCGATGAAGATTATCCTACTAATGTGTTTGTGCGTGCAGTTATGAAGGAGGGGTTCCGGATGTTTCCCTCCATGACGAGGACAGTGAGGAAACTGACTGAAGATATGGAGTTGGGGGGCTACCACTTACCAGAAGGGGTAAGTTGTAAGCACTCACTTTAAACCCATAAGATTGAAGATTGCTTTATTTTTTTTTCTTAACCACACAACGATTCGACAATAGCGGTTATTATAATTTATATTAATGATTTTGATGGTCAAAATTTAAAAGAAACAGGCTGAAGTCCTAGCAAAAAACTTCTGATTGTTACCAAAGAAAAACAAATAAACTCAAGATGCAAAAGCTTGGTTTCAAACAGCATTGAGACCCATACTTACGAACGTTTTTAGCTCATTTTGACAACGTTGTTAGAAGTTCAGCTGCTCTTCGATCTGCTGAAACAACTTTTTTAGGCTTCAGCAAAAACTCTGTTTCAATTTCAAACTCCTCCAGGTTGAATCTAGAAAAATTTTGTCTCTTGATTTGAAAAAAAAAAACACATTTCAGGTATCTAAGCAACTTTTTCAGACTTACATCATGATCGGAACCTACGCTATTGGCCGCAACCCAGAGTACTTCCGCAACCCCGATACTTTTGACCCAACGAGGTGGCTCAATGATTCGGGGGAGGAGATGGCGAGACTCAGCTCACCCTTCCTAATTGGAAACTTCGGATTTGGAGCCAGAATGTGCATCGGAAAACGACTGGCAGAGATGCAAATTTACGAGGCGTTAATTTATGTGAGCTTATTTAGTTTTCAGCACATCAAGTTTTATGAACATATGTTGGTTCGCAGTCAAAAGGTTCAAATTCGAGCTTTGAAAAAAATGATCTGTCGTATCGGTGACTAATAATCCGAAATTTCAAAGAAAGAGAGAATTACGTTTTTAACACTTTAAACTGTTTTGCATTTTCATTAGCAGTTTTGGACGCGCTTGCCCGTGTCCTAAAAATCGAACTCACAAAAAAACTCCAAGTCACTCTCTCTGTAATTGTTTAGGAAAATAATCCTGCGCGCTGGTGGTTTTTGTGAACATCGATCCCTGAGTGAATTTTTTTTTTGAAATGCTGGCGCATGTACCTAGATGGCCAAAATTTGGCAAAGTGACATCGGGAATGGACTTACAACAGCATTTAACGTCGAGCTATGTCTTTGTTTTAAAATTTTGGTCATAAAAAACAGGTTTTTAAAATTAGGGCTAAGCACTATGGTGGTTTTTGTGGTGTTTTTGTTGAGCTCGGTTTGTACGTTTAAATTAAGTTTTTTCACCTAACAATTACACCATTGTAATCCTCTGCCCATTTCCTGTCCGTAGGTACCTCATTTTTGATTTTTCGATCATTAAAAGTTATCAAAAATCTCATTTGAAAAATTTGAAATTTTTTTGAAAAATTAGGGCTAACTTTTTTTTTTCATTTAGCTGTATTTTCTGAACTAGTAGGAGTAAGATAACGAAACTGGTACCATTCGATCACATTTTGTCAGAGGTTTCCAGCCATATACATAACTTTATATATCGAACCCTAACAAAGTCAACTCTACCAGAAGGTCAGGTACAACTCATAGGTTCGAAAAGGAAACTCGACATTCTACTCAGGTTGAAAAACCAAAATCTTACCCTATGTTCCAAAAATTATGAAAATTGGCACACAGGGGTAGTTTTACACCAGGACAACGATGAAATAATTTGTTTTTGCAGTTTCCTACTTTTTGGATGGATTTTGGTCACTTGCGCGAAAGTGACCCTGAGAGATGGTGGTTTTTGAGGTTTTTCGTAATTTCGGCGTTTTTCTGATTTGTTTTCGTTTGTTTGGATTAATTAGACCTATCGGATTGAAAAGATGTGTTATCAGGCTTTCCAACGATACCAATAAAGTTTAAAAATTCGATATATAACTTGGTCAAACACTTTTTTTAGCTTAGCCCTAAAATGGTTTTTAAGAATTTTCTTCGTTTTTTTGAGCTCGCATGCCCTCTATGAGTAAAATATCACAGTTATTCAAGTAAAATTGACTGCTATGAATGTGCTAGACATTAATAACCGTAACCTGAAAGAACCGGCAAGGTATAATAATCTTACGATTGTTTTCATTACACAAGAGTTTTTTGCCAAAGTGACACTGAGAAATGGTGGTTTTTGAGGTTTTCTGTAATTTTGGCGTTTTTCGCTTGTTTGGGTTAACCAAACCTATCGGGTTGAAAAGATGTGTTGTCAGGCTTTCCAATGATACCAATAGAATTGAAAAACTCGAGATATAACTTGGTCAAACGTTTTGTTTAAGTTAGCCCTAAAATGGTTTTTAAGAATTTTCTTCGTTTTTCTGAGCTCACATGCCCTCTATGGGTGAAATATCGAAGTTATTCAAGTAAAATTGACTGCTATGTATGTGCTAGACATTTATAACTGTAACCTGAATGAACCGGCAAGGTATATTAATCCTACGATTGTTTTCAGTACACAAAAGTTTTTTCCAACTTGACACTGAGAAATGGTGGTTTTTGAGGTTTTTCGTAATTTTGGCGTTTTTCTGATTTGTTCTCATTTGTCTGGATTAATTAGACCTATCGGATGGAAAAGATGTGTTATCAGGCTTTCCAACGATACCAATAAAGTTTAAAAACTCGATATATAACTTGGTCAAACACTTTTTTTTAAGTTAGCCCTGAAATGGTTTTTAAGAATTTTCTTCGATTTTCTGAGCTCGCATGCCCTCTATGAGTAAAATATCACAGTTATTCAAGTAAAATTGACTGCTATGTATGTGCTGGACATTAATAACCGTAACCTGAAAGAACCGGCAAGGTATAATAATCTTACGATTGTTTTCATTACACAAGAGTTTTTTGCCAAAGTGACACTGAGAAATGGTGGTTTTTGAGGTTTTCTGTTATTTTGGCGTTTTTCGCTTGTTTGGGTTAACCAAACCTATCGGGTTGAAAAGATGTGTTGTCAGGCTTTCCAATGATACCAATAAAATTGAAAAACTCGAGATATAACTTGGTCAAACGTTTTGTTTAAGTTAGCCCTAAAATGGTTTTTAAGAATTTTCTTCGTTTTTCTGAGCTCACATGCCCTCTATGGGTGAAATATCGAAGTTATTCAAGTAAAATTGACTGCTATGTATGTGCTAGACATTTATAATCGTAACCTGAATGAACCGGCAAGGTATATTAATCCTACGATTGTTTTCAGTACACAAAAGTTTTTTCCAACTTGACACTGAGAAATGGTGGTTTTTGAGGTTTTTCGTAATTTTGGCGTTTTTCTGATTTGTTCTCGTTTGTCTGGATTAATTAGACCTATCGGTTGGAAAAGATGTGTTATCAGGCTTTCCAACGATACCAATAAAGTTTAAAAACTCGATATATAACTTGGTCAAACACTTTTTTTTAAGTTAGCCCTGAAATGGTTTTTAAGAATTTTCTTCGATTTTCTGAGCTCGCATGCCCTCTATGAGTAAAATATCACAGTTATTCAAGTTAAATTGACTGCTATGTATGTGCTGGACATTTACAACCGTAACCTGAAAGAACGGGCAAGGTATAATAACCTTACGATTGTTTTCACTACACAAAATTTTTTGCCAAAGTGACACTGAGAAATGGTGGTATTTGAGGTTTTCTGTAATTTTGGCGTTTTTCGCTTGTTTGGGTTAACCAAGCCTATCGGGTTGAAAAGATGTGTTATCAGGCTTTCCACCGATACCAATAAAGTTTAAAAACTCGATATATAACTTGGTCAAACAATTTTTTTAAGTTAGCCCTAAAATGGTTTTAAAGAATTTTCTTCGTTTTTCTGAGATCGCATGCGCTCTATGAGTGAAATATCACAGTTATTCAAGTAAAAATGACCACTATGTATGTGCTAAACATCTACAACCGTAACCTGAAAGATCTGGCAGTGTATATTAATCCTATGATTGTTTTCACTAGACAAAAATTTTTTGTAAAGTTTGATTCAAACTGAGGTTTTTTTTTGTATTTTTGGCTTTTTTTTAATCGTTCACGTTTTTTGGCTTTTCTCAGGCCTATTGGGTTGAATTGATGTGTTTGCGGGCTTTCCAGCGATACTATTTTTATTTCAGAACTCGAAATAAAACTTAGTAAAAAAAACTTTTTAAAGTTAGCTCTAAGCTGGTTTTTGATTTTTTTTTAGTTTTTCAGAGATCATATCCACTCTATGAGTGAAATATCAAAGTTATTCAAGTAAAGTTGACTTATATGTATGTGCTAGACATTTACAACCGTAAACTGAAAGAACCGGCAGATTAATCCTATGATTGTTTTCACTAGACAAAAGTTTTTTGTAAAGTTTGGTTTAAACTGAGTTTTTTTTTGTATTTTTGGCTTTCTTTAGCAAAAAAGTTTTATTGTTGAAAGAGTGTTAAAATTTTCTACAATCGAGACCAATGTTGATATCAGAGGAAATTTTATGATAAATAATTACATCTATGAAATCTTAGATAACAATTAAATTTGCAAAAGAAATTATAAATAATAAATAGTTAAATGAATTACTCGAGTTGGATTATTTTTTGGTGCCTCTCAGTTCACCCTGTATTTGTACAGGGCTATCCAGGACCGCCAACGGGGAGGCGGGCACCATCGGTCCCAAAAATTTTTTTTGGCTTTTTTTCTTTTTTTTTCTTTTTTTGTGAGAAAGCTTTCTCTTTTTTGGAACTTCAAGTTCTCATCTTTTTTTTTTCTTTTTTTTTGAAGCCAAGGCTTTCTCTTTTTTAGACATATAAATGTTAAACAATCAACTGCAAAGGATGAATTGTAGTCAACTAAGCCCCTCCTAGCACAACTAAGGCTTATGGAGTGTCACAAAGTCAAAAACAACTCACCCAATCACTCAACTAAGCCCCTCCTAGCACAACTAAGGCTTATGGAGTGTCACAAAGTCAAGTGATCAAAATCAATATACGGCAACAACAACAATCAACTGCAAAGGATGAGTTGTAGGCAACTAAGCCCCTCCTAGCACAACTAAGGCTTATGGAGTGTCACAAAGTCAAAAACAACTCACCCGATCACTCAACTAAGCCCCTCCTAGCACAACTAAGGCTTATGGAGTGTCACAAAGTCAAGTGATCAAAATCAATATACGGCAACAAAACTGCAAAGGATGAATTGTAGTCAACTAAGCCCCTCCTAGCACAACTAAGGCTTATGGAGTGTCACAAAGTCAAAAACAACCCACCCGATCACTCAACTAAGCCCCTCCTAGCACAACTAAGGCTTATGGAGTGTCACAAAGTCAAGTGATCTAATCAATATACTGCACGAAAAAATTATAGCACGAAATACCAAGGTCATACGTAAATTAACCGTATTCATCGGAAATTTTAAGTCAACAAAAAATAAGTATCTGTCATAATGTTCGTTATTTAAAAGCAGAATTAAATGTCATAAAGTACGCAAAAATGAAAACATTAGAAAGTCAATTTTAAAATGGCGCTTGAAAAATTTGTGAACTTTGTTTCAATCTCTCAGTTTTGTACTTTTTCACACACTTCTTTGTTTACCTGGAAATTCATTAGTTGTGACCTTGGTTTTCTAGCTATGAGTTCCTGCATTGCAAGAACATACTGGTAAAAAAAATGGTTTAGGGAACGAGAGTTTTTAGAGAACGAGTGTAACTTTTCTGCTTTCAAGTAACATAGTTTCTACGGCACGATTTACAGAGAACGAGAGTTTTTGTTCAAAGTTGTCCAGATTCTTCTCTTATCCAGTCTTTTACTTGCTTGAAAATGACCCTGACCTGGTCAAGTTTCAAGTTGAAGCCAGGAACTTCACTTCTCGTGATGGCTCTGCTCAAATTAAAATTATCTTGTAACAAGTTTTTCAAAAAAACTTGAGCAAGATAATTTCGTCCCTCGTCGTCTAATTGGTACTTTTGCGTAGCTCTCTGTTTCCGTCTCTTGATAAAGAGTGAAATTTCTTTTTCACTGGGGAGTTCTATCGTTTTTTGGTCTTTAGACGATGAGTCACTAGAAGGGCTATATTCCGAGGCATCGGTGACTTCGCCCTCGCTGGCTTCGTCCGCATCGTCCGTTTTTCCAGAAATTTGAAGAGCCAATTGTTCTCTTGGCTTTTTGTGAACTACATCCGTGAGGTCCCTGTCCAACAGAGTCGTCATGAAAGCACTGTTGCGCTTTTTGTTCTGCGCAACTTCGTAGTGTTGCACAGCAACTGCTCGGGAGTGACCCATCTGTTGGTCCAGTGCCCGGATAGCTCTAGGGTCATCAACAGTCTCCGCCCAGTGCGAGTTGACTGCCTTGCGGATTCTGTTTGCGTCGAAGTTGGGTAGGTTATGTTGTTTTCTCACTGTCCGAGAGTAACTCTTCATTCTGGCTTCCACTACTTCTTTTGTTGTCTCCGTTACGCCAGAGTCCAGCGGCGCAAAAAGCCAGTCCGAAGAGTCAAGATGGAAGAGGGATCTCAGGTTCATGTACTTTTTGAGGATCTCAAAGTCTGTCCTCTTTATCTTCAGGTACTTTTCTCCATCATTTCTGAAATTTTTGTGGCTCTCCAGCACCTGGCGATGAATCAAGTTGATTCTCACATTCTGCCCTTTCCCCGTTCTTATATCCTTGATCTCAGGCGGCATGAGAGCGATTCTATACAGGCCGTTGGCTTCGTCTACTTCAATTTCCTGCAAGTAGCTTGCTCTCATTTTGATGATAGTGCCTGCGCGAGCTAAAGTGCGCATGCACAAAAGGGCAATTAGGTTGTGCTGGATTGTTTTGTATTGCACTGTGTCTATGTTTTGTGCCTCCAACTCCGTTTGTAGATATTGAGTGACATTTTCTCTAACTGCACTCAACTCCTTCATTGTTGGCAGTGAGTTTCCCTCCGCGTAATTGTAGAGATGTTTTCTGGTTTTTGCAGAATTATTCAGCACGTTTTTCGATCTCTTATCTCTTGTAACAAAATGTCAAACTCGACAACTTGTTGTTTCCGGCCGTATTTGACAAGAAGAAATTCGGCAAACTTAAGCAGATCAGTTAATAGATTTTGCTTCGCCTTAGCAGTTTTGACTGGTCTTGGTATGCTTTCATATGAGTGTACCCAAACTGCTATTTTGCTCAAGTCTGTAAAGCCTTCACTTAGTAGGAGGCATTCCCGGATTCGCTGCAGTTTTGTATTTATATTCTCCTCAGTGAAAATTGACCCTTCATTCTGCTTGCACTCATGTAGTTTTTGTACTTTAAATTCTCTCAAACTGCTGTCAAAATTGATTGGTCCTCTTATCATGTCATTGTTTTCATTTTCGTTCGGATGTCCAGAGAGTTGCTTCCTGAGGACCACTGATACATCCTCCAAGGTTCTTACTAAATTCCGGTGTTGTTTATGTTCTTGGTGTCGCCAGCTCTGAGAAAAAACGTGAAGACAGTCTGGTAGTGAGCAGACGTACCGTTTCTCATTTGTTGAGTTCACTGCGTTCCTATTCTGCAACAAGGTAATTTTTTGAATCACATTCAGTTCTAGACCACAGAACTGGTGCTCCTGCATGTAGTGACGGCGCAAATGATGGTCTCGATTAAAGTTTCTTTGAGGACAAATCCGGCAGGAAAATAGACCCCTTTGATCCTCCAAACTTACTCAGGCGTATTGGGTTGAATTGATGAGTTCGCGGGCTTTCCAGCGATACTATTTTTATTTCAGAACTCGAAGTAAAACTTAGTAAAAAAAACTTTTTAAAGTTAGCTTTAAGCTGGTTTTTGATTTTTTTTTAGTTTTTCAGAGATCATATCCACTCTATGAGTGAAATATCAAAGTTATTCAAGTAAAGTTGACTTCTATGTATGTGCTAGACATTTACAACCGTAAACTGAAAGATCCGGCAGATTAATCCTATGATTGTTTTCACTAGACAAAAGTTTTTTGTAAAGTTTGGTTTAAACTGAGTTTTTTTTTGTATTTTTGGCTTTCTTTAATCGTTCATGTTTTTGGCCTTTCTCAGGCTTATCGGGTTGAGTTGATGTGTTTGAGGGCTTTTCAACGAATCCATTTTTTTTTTTTCAAAACTCGAAGTAAAACTGAGTCAAAAAACTTTTTGAAGTTAGATCTAAGCTGATTTTTTATTTTTTTTTTAGTTTTTCAGAGATCATATCCACTCTATGAGTGAAATATCAAAGTTATTCAAGTAAAAATGACTTCTATGTATGTGCTAGACATTTACAACCGTAACCTGAAACAACTGACAAGATAGTTTAACCATATAGCGCTTTTCACTAGACCAATGTTTTTTTTGTTAAGTTTGAACCCAAACAAGGTCTTTTTAAATTTTTTGCAATTTTCTTAATTGTTTTCGTTTTTTTAGATTATTCAGGCCTATCGTGTTGAAAAAATGTGTTGTCAGGCTTTCAACGACACCAATAGAAATGGAAAACTGGATTTTTAACTTGGTCAAACCTTTTTTTTAAGTTAGCCCTAAAATGGCTTTTGAGTATTTTCTTCGTTTTTCTTATCTCACATGCCCTCTATGAGTGAAAAATCACAGTTATTCAAGTAAAATTGACTGCTATGTATGTGCTAGACATCTACAACCATAACTTGAAAGAACCGGCAAGGTATATTAATCCTATGATTGTTTTCACTACACAAAAGTTTTTTGCCAAAGTGACACTGAGAAATGGTGGTTTTTGAGGTTTTTCGTAATTTTGGCGGTTTTCTGCTTTGTTCTCGTTTGTTTACATTAATCAGGCCTATCGTGTTAAAAAATTGTGTTGTCAGGCTTTCAACGATACCAATAAGGTTTAAAAACTCGATATATAACTTAGTCAAACGTTTTTTTTAAGTTAGCCCTAAAATAACTTAAAAAAACGTTTCACCAAGTTTTATATCGAGTTTTTAAACTTTATTGGTATTGTATCGTTGGAAAACTTGATAACACATCTTTTCAACTCGATAAGCTTGAGAAAGGCCAAAAACATGAACGATTAAAAAATAGCCAAAAGTACAAAAAAAACCTCAGTTTAAATCAAACTTTACAAAAATGTTTGTCTAGTGAAAACAATCATAGGATTAAAAAACACTGCCGGATCTTTCAGGTTACGGTTTTAAATGTCCAGCACATACATAGCAGTCAATTTTACTTGAATAACTGTGATATTTCACTCATAGAGGGCATGCGATCTCAGAAAAACCAAGAAAATTCTCAAAAACCATTTTAGGGCTAACTTAAAAAAGTGTTTGACCAAGTTATATATCGAGTTTTTAAACTTTATTGGTATTGTTGGAAAGCCTGATAACACATCTTTTCAACTCAATAGGCTTGGTTAACCCAAACAAGCGAAAAACGCCAAAATTACAGAAAACCTCAAAAACCACCATTTCTCAGTGTCACTTTGGCAAAAAACTTTTGTGTAGTGAAAACAATTGTAAGATTATTATACCTTGCCGGTTCTTTCAGGTTACGGTTGTAAATGTCCAGCACATACATAGCAGTCAATTTTACTTGAATAACTGTGATATTTTACTCATAGAGGGCATGCGAGCTCAGAAAAACGAAGAAAATTCTTAAAAACCATTTTAGGGCTAACTTAAAAAAAGTGTTTGACCAAGTTATATATCGAGTTTTTAAACTTTATTGGTATCGTTGGAAAGCCTGATAACGCATCTTTTCAACCCGATAGGCTTGGTTAACCCAAACAAGCGAAAAACGCCAAAATTACGGAAAACCTCAAATACCACCATTTCTCAGTGTCACTTTGGCAAAAAACTTTTGTGTAGTGAAAACAATCGTAAGATTATTATACCTTGCCAGTTCTTTCAGGTTACGGTTGTAAATGTCCAGCACATACATAGCAGTCATTTTTACATGAATAACTGTGATGTTTCACTCATAGAGGGCATGTGAGCTCAGAAAAACGAAGAAAATTCTTCAAAAACCAATTTAGGGCTAACTTAAAAAAATGTTTGACCAAGTTATATATCGAGTTTTAAAACTTTATTGGTATCGTTGGAAAGCCTGATAACACATCTTTTCAACTCGATAGGCCTGAATAATCCAAACAAATGAGAACGAATCAGAAAAACGCCAAAATTACGAAAAACCTCAAAAACCACCATTTTGTGTTTTTTTGAAAATTTTGGTAGAAAATGCAATTTTAAGTGTAAACAAGGCTAATCGACTCATTTCTAGGTTTGCCTCTCTGTTCCATCAATGTTTTTGCAACATTTATCATAAAATTTTTTTTTTCGTTTTTTTTTCGTTTTTTTCACGTTTTTTTGGTTTTTTTGAGGTTTTTCGTTGTTTTGGGGCTTTTTGCCAAGTATTTATGGGTTTTCAGCTCATTTTAAAAAATGGTGGTTTTTGTGGTGGTTTTTGTGAACATGGTGGTTTTTGAGGGTGGTTTTTGTGAACATACGCACCCTGCGCATGGTGGAAATTGAGCGGCCGTGTTCACAAAAACCACCATGCGCAGGGCCCTAACCCTAACCCTAACCCTAACCCTAACCCTAACCCTAACCCTAACCCTAACCCTAACCCTAACCCTAACCCTAACCCTAACCCTAACCCTAACCCTAACCCTAACCCTAACCCTAACCCTAACCCTA